TTATAACCAATTCAAAAGTAATGAATTGCAATTTTTAGTACTTGGGATTTCTTTTTCTTTACTCTCTCACAAATATGATTTATATGTACATGACGTACTAATTTCCTGCAAATTTTTTTTATTCATTGCATGTGTAATTGAAGGTGCACTAGGTTTATGTGTTTTTTTTAGTGTAGAAATAAATTGGTCAATGTTTAGGGAGCACCACAAGGAGAGAAAATTTCATTAGTAGATTAATTTTATTTCCTTCAACTAAAATAAATAAAAAAAAAAAGGAATTAGTATAAAAATTTATGAGAATGGATAATTTTTTCAATTTATCTCATATTGCAAATTAAAAAAAAAAAAGCATTACCTTTTAGAAGCTTATTTCATGATGTCAACACTTACTGAAATTAAATTTAATATTGCGAATGTAAAATTTGAACTGGTTTGTAGTAAGCTATGTTATTCAGAGACAGATTTGATGTGTAGAACACATGTCTATACATAGTGGCAAAACATAAAAAAATCTTGTGGCTGTAAACTGACAATAATTTTATAAACTTTTAGAGTTTGTCTTAAAAAAAAAAAAAAAATTAATTTTTATTTTTTTGATGGTTGAAGATGATTTCATTAAAAAAGCATGTAATTTTAGGTTACAAAGGCAATAGGGCAAAAGAGAAAAAATTAAAATTTACCTCTTAAAACTTAGTTGTTCAAAAAAAAAAAAAAAAAAAAAAATCAAAGCTATAGACAGCCTTGCTAGAAATTTAAGATTTTCTAGCAAATTAAAAATGTGGCTTGGTTATGTCAGATTCGACGTACAATTTTTAAGAAATGATAGAATATGGTGGGAAAATGAGCACTTTCTTATAGTACAAGATAAACTGAAGTAAATAAAAAAACAAAAAAAAACAAACAAGGATTCTTACTTCAGTTTCCTTTTTTGTGTTTCTGAAAATAATTTTGAGTTAACAAAAAATTTCATCTTAATTTTTCTTGATTTGTTTTTCAAATTTCTGAATACATAAAAAATTTTTTTTTTCTTTCTTTAGTACACATACATTAAAAAAAAAAAACAAACAAAAAAAAAAACATAACAGCAGTTTTCAAAATATGATGTATCACTTAATAAAGATATTTTCTAAAGGAGGAGGGAGGGAGATCATTGAATTCTCCCCCCACCTCCCAAATATCAGATAAATTATTTAGTGACACAAACAAGAATAGAAATAAAAATTCTTCTTACATATAATCATCATTATATATAATTATTATATTCTGTATTATTTATATTATATAATAAATTATAAAGAAGTATACATTGGAATATTATAGTTTATATATATATATATATATATATATATATATATATAGCCTTATTATATTCAATATTATATAATGATATATATTTTATATATAATGATAGATTATATATAATAATAGTACATAATTTATGATGCATATGTGCATCATACATACACACACATATATGTGCATGTGTGTGTATGTATAGATATATATAAAGAAGAAAGGAGGGAAAGAAAAAATTCAGTAGATATGAGATAGTAGTCCATTGTATTAAAAAAAAAAAAAATGTCAAGGCTTTTAACCCCAATCTTGTCACGTTCAAAATCATTTCTCAAAGAGACCTAAAAGAAATAAATGAAGACATTTCAGATTAGAGAACCTTAAAGTTATTGACTTCATTAGCTTAAGTTGTGTTCAAAAGAATATTCTTTGGTGATAGGTCATCACAAGATTAACCTAATTAATATCATACAAATTCATTTATGAATAAACATTTAAAATGTCAAAGCTCATTAAAAGAGAAAAGCAAATATTGCTATAAATTACTTAACCAACAAAATAAAACAACTAAAATATGTTTCTTTTACATAACATTTTATATGTCCTTTATCAACTGAGAAAACACTTATAAAAAAATTAAAATCTTGTACAAAATTTAATTAAAGCTATAAAAGCAGACATATTTATTAAAATGTGAGGAAAATGGACAGGGAAAAAATATAGAATTGCCACAAACGGCAATTTGAAACAAAACAGCAAAAAATATATATTACTAAAACAAAAAAAAAATTGTTGGTGGGGGATTAAAAAAAAAAAAACTTACTGATGAGCTTAATATACAAATGAACAAAGCTGAAGTTTGAAATTGAATGTTTAGAAAAACTAAACGTTTAAAAGTATCTTATTAAGACCTGAAATTGCTTGTTAAATAATATTTCCTTCAATTAATGTTAAAGAGTAGTCATATCTTTTTAACCTATTAGTAATGTTTATCTTTTATTAATTGGTGTCTATCTAATGGTTTTAACATAGATATCAGTAAATAGCCATACACTTCAGTTTGAGTTGTATATGTAAAAACTTCATCCCAAACTTTTTCTTTATAAGTATTTTTTCTTTCCTCCCAAATCTCTCCCTCACACTCCACAGTATGAAGAAAAAATAAATTGAATAACTCCCAACTTGTCTTTGGATTGAACTTTTAAATTCATGAGTTTTGGGAATGACCTCTTCTGAAAATGTTTAAGCTTTTGAAGAAGGCTCGCATCCGACGAATTCGATTTCTTTTTCGGTTTTGTTTTTCCATAGCAGCCAAAGCTTCCCGTTCTTTGCGTCTAATTTCTCGTACCAAACCGTGGAACACATCATCAACACATTGACGTAACACAGCTGACGTTTCATAGAAAGGACAACCAAATTGGCAAGCTAAAGATGAGCCTTCATCTGATGATACCTGTCAAATACAAAAGAAATTTGAAAATAAAATCATTGTTTAAAATAAAAAGAAATATTCCTACTTAAAATACATCTTGGAGGAATTCATATTGCTGGTGTGACTCAAAACAGAGCATAATATGTTTTTTGCATGTTCCTCAATTTTTGAAATGAGCAAATTGATCTCTACTGAATGATATATACAATATTCAGATACAAACCTTTTCTGTGAAGTTAGGCCAAAGATCATATTATGTATTTTTATTCTGATTCTTTTTATCTTTAAACTTTTAGTGCTCATTTTTTGTTTCACTGGTGTAGTGGATTGATTTTGTTTTTTTTACAGCTTATCAACCCTCAATGGGTTATTTAAAGCTGAAACATATTTTAGATTGTAAGAATAATTTTTTTTGCTTCTAAATATTCTAAATATTGCAGTAACAATTTTTTGAGAATAACACTGATTTTTCCAAATACAAGACCTACTATTTAGCCCACAGCTGTGGGGAGAAGATGGATTCATACCTTTCCCAGGGGGATTTGTGTATAAGAGAATGTAACAAACTGACTGTAATTCCAACAATGGGTACTAAGAGGTTAAGGTGTTTTTTTCTTGTTTCACAAAAAATACATTTACACCCTTTTTAGTATCACACCAACAATTTATGAAATGTTATACAAAGGTTCAGAGAATGTGAACAGACTGAGCAATATTTTCATTTGTGAAATTACCAAGTGATTTTTTAATATCTCATTGGACATTTCATACATCATCTCTTCATATCATAACAAGAAATAAAAGGTCCTCATTTTCTATCAATATTTTTTTCTTCTATGAGGAATCCATATTAAAGCTGATATTCCCTGATCTTTTGTGCATCAACTTGCAGTAAAAAGTCTTTGATCGATTTTACACTGTGTCAATATTATAAACAGGACCTCTTCTAAATCAATAAAAAAAAAAAAAAAAAAAAAAAAAAAAAAATGATAAAAAAACGCCTATTGTCCAGTTCACACCCTTTCCTGGTCGTTTCTCTCTAGTTCCCTGTTTAGGATTAGATTTTTAGTTGTTTCTAAAGTTTTTTTCATTCTTTTTCACACTCAGTAGTCTCCCTCATCTTAGTGGCATTATCACCTTGCTTGGGGTGAATTGATTAAAAATTTAAAAAAAAAAAAAATCAATATTTTTTGATTGTGACAAATGTTGTGGCTTGAGGAAGGTCTAATGAATGCTAATATACAAAATTATTCCCCCTCCCACCAAAAACAATTCCATGAGGGGACCAGTTTTTTAAGTAGTTCCATCCTATCATCTGTGTGTAGCCTCTTCCTAGATAAATGTCATTTGAGAGAGCCAAACAAATAATAATCTGAAGGAGCCAAGTCAGGATGATACAGTGGATATGGCAAAGCATTTTTTTTAATCATTTCACCCCAAGCAAGGCCACTGAGTTGCAAGGGATTACAGAGTGTGAGAGAATGAGAAAAAGGTATAGCGAAGAAAACACTGAATTACCTCGTCAAACCAAGTGACAGACAGTGTGCCGTGCATATCCTACGATGGAAAATGTGGTGAAAAAAGAAATTACTTGCAAAAAAAAAAAAAAAAAAAAAAAAAAAAAAAAAAAAAGGAGAACATATTCTGCATGACATGCTGAAGATGGAATATTCAAATTAGAAACAAGTCAGTTACAGGATTTGCCATAAAAGTATTTTGAAATGCTAATATTGTGCATCCTCTCCTAGTTGTCAATGAATGAAAAAAAAATGCTTGGTCAATAAAAGCAGTTGATGTTCTCAAATCAGGGATGAAAGACAAAATTTGTGTATTTTGGCTACCACGTTCATTGGTGAGTGAGTCATTTTTCTGACTGGTTACATTCATTGTGATTTATGACATAATACCTGCAAATGGGGATTTGGGCCTTACTTTCTGCCCCTGATATTCCAGTCTAAACTTTGTTCTCTTTATTGTAGAAGTAATCTGCGACAAATATTTCTTTTGCAATGCAAGAATGTTTACAAAAAGGAAAACATCATTAAGGAGAGAGAAAAATAAAAGAACAGGAATTAAGAAAATAGAAGATAACAATTGACATTGCATTTAAATTTTTGAAGATTAAAGCTGACTGGAAAGCAAGAAGCTGGAAGAGAGTTCCATAAATGACAAGTGTGAGAGAAGAAACTGCTAGCATAGAACTTATGGTTACATCTAGCCATTTTAACTGTAAAATGATGAGACTTTTCCACCTCATCATTTAACAGTTTAAATGGCTAGTTGTAACATAGATGATCTTCTGTCACCTCTGTATGGAGTGGCACTATTATGCAGTAGGGTGACATCTTTAAATAAATGTTCTGGTCTCTTTTGATGAAAAGCTTCCCTTATCTATCCAGTGTTTCAGAGTATCTGATAGTAACAACTGTCTAACAATGCAGTATAAAGTCTGTGAGCAACATAGTTCTTGCAATTCAAAACACAGTTCTTATCAATTTCTATGCTGACTGTGAAACATTGGATTTTTGAGTGATGAGGGATGATTCCAGCTTATAGATTAAATCTTTATCAATGGGATAACATGATGCACCCAGGTTTTATCACTTATGATTATATTATGTGTTACCAAAAGTCTCCATCAGCCTCCCGGTCCCAAAAGCTAAAAAGAAAGGCCCATGTGCTGGAATTTGTGTTTTTCACTCAATTGCTTTGAGACCCAATGAAATAACCCTTTCTGATATTTCAAATTGTAGATAATTTCTTGGTCCATTCTGGAGAATCAAGTTCCACAGCCAGATTTATGAATTTATCACTATACACAATGTTAGCTTCTGTTGTTATGGAACAGATACTCTGCACAAGGTTTGTACTACAGATTTGTCCATCCCTCTGTGAAAGAACTCCACCAGACAAATACCTACTTTCTGCTTATTATGCATTACTCATAAAGAGTAAGATGTTCACAATTTCTGTTTCATTTTTGCCCTTAGCATACAAAAATCTTATTACAACTTTCAGCTCCATATTTGTCCTCTGTTTTATGGTGGCAATCATCTTTGATGTGATATCACATGCACATGGAATCAATATTAACCCATCAATGGTCATCATAAAATTCAGTATTAATTATAGGTTTGTAGCTATAACCTATTAATTCCTACCATCCATTTTGTAGACAGTAAGCATTAATAGGTAAACACTGTTCTGCCTGTTACAAAAAGTACTGCACCCCACTGTTACTTTAGATTTACAGACTTCAAAATGTTTACATTCAGTTTATGCCTATCTGTGTGCGTATATATATATATATATATATATATATATATATATATATATATATATATATATATATATATATGTGAGGACAAGTCAAAAATTATTCACACTTTCCCCATAACATATCTTTTATATGTTTTACTTTCTCATATATATATATATATATATATATATATATATATATATATATATATATATGCCTCATTCCCTCCTTTTCATCCTCTAAGATATAGCCAGAAAATAAACTTGATAAGATCTGGGTTGAAACTGGTCATTTTAGTTTTTAGTTAAAATGCCATCAAAAATTTATTTATTTCTTGCTTATATATATATATATATATATATATATATATATATATATAAAATTAGAAAATAAACAGTCAATTGCTGATATCCCCTGCCAGAGCTTTCATCTATGAAATTTTAGAGTCAGAATGCTGAAAGTAACATCAATCAGTTAAGTAACAAATTTTATATTTGTATTAATCCTATATATAGAAACCAGGGTAGCAGATTCAACTGACCTCCTGATTTTTAAAGTTATACACACAAACATATATATATATATATATATATATATATAACTGAATTTCTTAATCCATTATGTCTTACTGACAAGGCAATAATGTTTGTAAGACGTAATGGATTACTGGCTATGGAAGAATTAGAAAACAGAAACATTACTAAGGAGTGAGAACTATAGAAGAGTAATCAGGAAGACAGTAGATAAACATTGTCATTACATTTAAATTTTTGAAGATCAAAGTTAACTGGAAATCATGGCGCCAGAAAAGAGTTCTACAAGCATGAAATGCAAGAAATGAAACTGCTAGCTTACAATTACATCTAGTCAATTCAACTGTAAATTGATGAGACCTTGCTGCCAATCTATTACTACACATAAATTCATAAAGTCTAGGTACCATAGTGAAGAACTCATCCGAACAATTACCATGAAAGTATTTATAGAAAAGTTACCAGCAACTTTACAGCAGTGGTAATGTGACTGAAGCTTAGAAGCCAGGCCAGGACCAATAATATTGCTGATTCTTCTTTGGATTTTATCAAAAATCTCTAAATATACAGCAGGAGCATCAGACCATATGTGGCAGCAATATTCTAAGCATGGGCGAATATAGTAGACATAAAAGATATTTAATATAGATTCCGGAGAGAAAAATTGTCTAGTATTGCTTAGTAATTGACCTAGCAATGGATTTAATATAGTTTTTTTACTTCATAGCTGAGAATGTTAGTCAGAGAGATGCAATGAGTCACTCACCTTCAAGTTAGCATCAGCCATACTGATGGAAGGCAGAAAGGGGTCTCTCAGATGATTAATAGAGAACAGTTTTGTTTTTGAAGCATTAAAAATAACATGCCATTCTTTGCTCCAGTTAACAACAGATTGTAAGTTGTTTTTGACATCAGCTGCCAATTTGACCATATTGAACAGATCAGATTTATTATCAAGTTAGGAGTAAATGGTTATGTCATCAGCATGGATACCTAGTTTAGAGCTGATGTCATCAGGAAGGTCATTAATGAAAATTAAAAGTAGGACCCAGGATAGAGCACTAGGGGACACCTGCATTATTACAAAAATATCTAAAGAGAGGCCATTCAGGATAACATTCATTTCATGATTTGATAAGAAAGACTGAATCAGTTCAAAAATATGTCTGGAGAGACCATAACTTTTAAACTTGTGTAGAAGACCAGTATGCCAAACCCAGTTGAACACT